TATTTTTAGTATTAATATTGTTTAACAATTTGGATATTGTATTGCTCAAGAATTAGGATATTAACTTGTTTATATTATGTTTATTTTTAATTTGTTTATTTTTATGTTAAAGGGGAGTTAAAGTTCATTATGGACTTGGTTATTTACATAGTTGGTTAATGTTAGTTAGAGTATGATTATTATATTTGTCACCCTGTACTCAGCTCTGTGAAGTGGGGGAGGGAGAGGGGGGGTTTAGGGTGGGTGGGTTTTGAGGTGTATATTGTAACTTTTATAAAACTTTTCAATAAAAAAAAGTTAATAGCCTGGTTGTTAAGTGAATCTGGCTTCCCCCATTGACTTTACTGGTCAGAAAGTCACAGAAAGACATGACCTCGGGACACTGCAACTGTCATAATAAATGCATGCCTGTTGCCAAGTGCCCAAATTGTGATCACAGGACCGTGGGGATGTTGCAACGCTCAGAGGTCGCTTTTTCCGGTGCTGTTGTAACTCTGAATGGTCACTAAATGAATGGTTGTAGGTTAAGGACTGCTGTATTATAGAGCTCTTAGAATATGTAACTTCCGGCAGTAGAATTACAATACTATAAAGCAGGCAGAAGTGGCTAGTCTTCCTTTCAGTGCCAGCTGGAATGATGATGATGATATGATGATGATGATGATAGTAATAATAATATGATGATGATAATGAAGTTGGGAGGGATCTTGGAGGCCATCTAGTCCAACCCCCTGCTCAGGCAGGACACCTTATACCATTTCAGACAAATGGATGTCCAGTCTCTTCTTAAAAAACTCCAGTGTTGGCGCATTCACTGCTTCTGGAGGCAGGTTGTTCCACTGGTTAATTGTTTTAACTGTCAGGAAGTTTCTCCTTAGTTCTTAGGTTGCTTCTCTCCTTGATCAGTTTCCATCCATTGCTTCTTGTCCTGCCTTCAGGCGCTTTGGAGAATAGCTTGACTCCCTCTTCTTTGTGGCAGCCCCTGAGATATTGGAATCCTGCTATCATGTCCCTCCTCGTCCTTCTCTTCGTTAAACTAGACATACCCAATTTCAGCAAGCGTTCTTCGTATGTTTTAGCCTCCAGTCCCCTAATCATCTTTGTTGTTCTTCTCTGTACTCTTTCTAGAGTCTCAACATTTTTTTTTACATCGTGGTGACCAAAACTGGATGCAGTATTCCAAGTGTGGCCTTACCAAGGCATCGTAAAGTGGTATTAACACTTCACGTGATCTTGATTCTATCCCTCTGTTAATGCAGCCTAGGACTGCGTTGGCTTTTTTGGCAGCTACAGCACACGGCTGGTAAAAGCTGAAAGGCAGAAGGCACGTAAAATTATTGATTTCTCAGTTGAGCTGCCGAAATCTTCCTCCTACACCTGTTGCAGCTTGAGAGAATGGCTGCTAAATAATAGCAGGCAGTAAATAACATTCAGTTAAAGGTAGTTTCTCTGTTGGGCTGGTGGGGAGCTGTGGTTTCCTTCCCTCTGCATTACGTGTGACCATGATTATAAATATAGAGAGCTCTATTAATATAGAAGCCTGCTAGAAGTGCCTGTATATCGCCGTACTGGGGATTCTTCACCCTTTGCTCCATCAATCAATATTACATTATGGGTTACTGTGGTTGCATCATAAGCTATTGGGAATTGGTGGGTAGTTAGTTCAGGGAAAAATAACCCTACTGAATCCGAGATTTAATTCTATATCCTCTTTCCATGATGTTGAAAGATTCTAATTTCTGATAGCAGCTGGTTTATTAATCACCCAAGATAGTTTTGACCTAAGGGTTTACATAAGAAAGCTTTAGAAACTCATCCTCCTGCGTTTTTAACCTTCATGCATGCAGTCTGCCCCAGAACTCTGGGGAGGAGGGGCAAGCTAGATTGTCTTCATTCATGCACCAATAATTGCTTTTTCAACAGATGGTTTCCGGCACCATCAAGAGTTCCACGCTGCCGATTTTCCCAGAATATCGTTTGTCTCAACCCGATACCTTAAAGCAGAGGCTTGACATCTTGTTAAATTGTCAGCATTTAAGATTTTTACAACCTAAAAGGAAGTATTTCAAGGGTGTCATCCATCTTAAGCCGTAGCTTTCCCTGTACGGCTTGCTGTGAAAAATAAACGTATCGTTTGAGAGGTGAAGGGAAGTAATTTCAGAAGTGAAATGTTCAACTAGCTCCTGACTAAAGGCCTGCAGAAGACTTAAACCTTTCTCAATAAATTATAAATACTTTCTGGGTAGCAGAACGTTATTAAGACCAATCGGCGAGAAGGAAATATTACCGTTCAATTCTGGTTCAGTGGTAAAATGACTCCAGAAACATTATTTTGGAGGAGTTAATGGGTTTTTCTTTGTATTAATAATAATAATAAAGTTGGAAGGGACCTTGGAGGTCATCTAATCCAACCCCCTGCTCAGGCAGGAAACCCTATACCGTTTTGGACAAACTGCTGTCCAGTCTTTTCTTAAAAACTTCCAGTGTTGGAGCATTCACTGCTTCTGGAGGCAGGTGGTTCCACTGGTTAATTGTTCTAACTGTCAGGAAGTTTCTCTTTAGTTCTAGGTTGCTTCTCTCCATAATTAGTTTCCATCTGTTGCTTCTTGTCCTGCCTTCAGGCGCTTTGGAGAATAGCTTGACTCCCTCTTCTTTGGGGCAGCCCCTGATTTATTGGAAGACTGCTATCATGTCCCCCCTCGTCCTTCTCTTCATTAAACTAGACATACCCAATTCCAGCAACCGTTCCTTATATGTTTTAGCCTCCAGTCCCCTGATCATCTTTGTTGCTCTTCTCTGTCCTCTTTCTAGAGTCACAACATCTTTTTTATTGTTGTTTATTGTTTTTTTTATTATTATACCTTTCTTCTCTGCATTAAAGAAACAAATCTTTTCCTCCTCAACATATATATTGGCTATTAATATGTAAATAATTAGGCAGTGATAAACTTGATATTCCTTTCTATGGAAGGAAGATACATGGGCGGTTCAAGAAGATACATGGGGGGTAGGGAGGGGAGTGAAGCTATGCACTTATAGAAAAAGAAGCCAAATCGGAGAAAGACTGAATATTGAAGAAAAATGATAACTGTATGGTTCTGTTGGAGACCTGCTGTGGTGATATAGATTGAGGAATAAGCAACTTTTCTGCTTTTTGGATGCACTGGATTACAGTTCCCATCAGCTGTTTTGGAAGTCATACTCCAAAGCATTTTAAGGGCATTTCTAAAGAAAATAATGCATTCTCCCAAGCGCCTGAAGGCAGGACAAGAAGCAACGGATGGAAACTAATCAAGAGGAGAAACAACCTAGAACAGTGATGGCGAACCTTTTAGAGACCGAGTGCCCAAAAACTGCCCCTCCCGCCCCTGTCCCTGCTCCGCCCTGCCCACTGGGCCACCCACCACCTCCACGGGCCACCACAGATCACCCAGGCAGCCCAGCAGCACCATGGCGGCCATGCCCTCCACCCATGCCCCGCAGCAGCATCTGCACACAACGGGGCGCAAGGGCAGAGTCTTGTCTCCGCTGCCCGGCTACCATGTCCTTGGTTGCTCTGCTTCGTGTGGGCCGCGCCCAGGGGCAACTCCTCCAGGAGGGCTGCTGGTGAGGAGGGGGCCGTGGGAGGAGGCGGGGCTGGGGAGACGGTGCATGTGCCCACAAAGACTCCAAGTGCCGCCTGTGGCACCCGTGCCATAGGTTCACCACCACTGACCTAGAAGTAAGGAGAAATTTTCTAATGGTGGAAGCAGTTAACCAGTGGAACAACCTGCCTCCAGAGGCTGTGAATGCTCCAAGACTGGAAGTTTTTAAGAAGAGACGGGACAGCCATTTGTCTGAAATGGTATAGGGTTTCCTGCCTGAACTGGGACTAGATGACCTCCAAGGTCCCTTCCAACTACTACTACTACTACTACTTATTATTATTATTATTATCGATCATCGCACAGTCAGCCAGATGTTCAGACTGGATTTGGCATTTTGTCTACCTATCGAGTCCTTACCCAGGACCTGGGATAGGCAGATGTGGATGTTTGATGGTATTATAGGTATCGTCGCAGGATGGAAGTAGTTCCTAGTAAGGCCGCCTTTTGCAATTGACTAATAGCAAATTTGTCAATGCCAATGGTGTTCAAGTGGTGCTCCAGTTGTTTTGGGATTGCACCCAAGGAGCCTATGACTATTGGTACTACCCTTGCTTGCTTTTGCCACAGTCTTTCTATTTCTATTTGTAGGTCTTTGTATTTTGTTATCTTCTCCAGTTCTTTCTCATCTATTTTGCTGGCTCCAGGCACTGCCACGTCCACTATCCAGACTTTTTTGTCTTTCTTATCGACAGTTGTTAAGTCTGGGGTGTTATGCTGCAAGTGCTTGTCTGTTTGAATTCTGAAGTCCCAGAGCAGTTTAATTTTATCATTTTCTATGACTTTCTCTATTTTATGATCCCACCAGTTTTTGCTTACAGGCAAATGATATTTTTTGCAGATCTTCTAATGCACCATTGTTGCTACTTTGTCATGCTGCTGCTCATTATTATTATTATTATTATTATTATTATTATTATTATTATTATTATTATTATTATCTTGCTTGGCCCTATTTTAAAGTATGGGAGAGTGATGAGAAATTTCTGTTAATCTGATATAAAAACAGTAAAGAAAGAAAGACCTAGTTGCAAATCTGCCAAATCTATAAGCTGTGGGCAAAGCGAAAATCTATTTGCTCACTGTCAAGGGGATTTGGATTGTTTGGTCCAAAGAGCCTCTCTCAACTCCATGCATCTATGAAATCTAAGAAGAGTAGTCTAAGTGTGCTTGGGGAGCTGTGTGGTCTGTGGCTTTAGTGGATCATTGACAGGAAGTGAAAAGTGACGGTTGATCATCAAAAGGAAGTGAAAAATCCCAAAGGTATGTGGATATTGATGTAGACATCTCCCACTAACTCTTAAATTTTTTTCAAAACTTTCCTAAAGAAAATATGTCTTCTTTTTGTCTCAACAGGTATATTAACATGGGGAACCTTCTTAAAGTTTTGACATGCACAGACCTTGAACAGGGACCAAACTTCTTTCTGGATTTTGAAAGTGAGAATGGTTGCTACTTACGTATCATAAACCCTGACTGTTTGTTTTATGCGTTTCTGAAAAAAGAATCTTATTAGGCAGTGCCTGAATCATAAATTAAGTTCCCCTTTATTGGCTAATTTATATGAGAGTGGGTTATTCAAAGATGAAAAAGCTGAGCACCTGTTAGGAGCATTCCCTGAGACAATATTTAGAAAAAAAAGGGGGGTTATTATGTTAATTAATTACAGGTTATAATAAATATGTTTAAGTACTGTGTTGGTGCCCACAGCTTGTACTCAGCTCTAGTGGAACAGATTTTGCAAAGCCTCCAACTATTGTGTCCTATTCTATCAGAACTGGAAACCAACTTCAAAAGAAAAGACGGCCCTAAGGCTTATTGTGACACTGGTTTCTTTTGAACAATTGCAGTTTTGCAGTTTGAATGAAACAAAAACCCAAGATTTAGAGGCTTCCTTGTAAAATTGAAGTTGCTGCAAAGCAGCTGGATGGGCATGCAAAACATCTCTATGTAATTCTTTTGATTAAGTCAATAATGAGCATTTTCATTTAGAAGTTCTCCTTATTAAGGCTGTGCAGCCCTTCAGATTTAAAGGAAAAAAAGATTCTTTCGAGCACATGGTGGTATACTCATGTCACTAGGTGGTAACTCCATAAACTACATCCATCTTTATTGGATTGCATGGCAACTGCAATCCAAGGCAGTAAAAGACAGATGCATGACCCTGAGAAAAGATGCAGCTACTTTAATGAGGCGCTTCATTGTTATTCCCACGAGGTGTAGAAAACTTTTTTCCTTTCCCATCCAAAGTAGTACACAGTTCAGGGCCTTCTAATTTTCAGAAAGCCCTTCTAGAGAATAGAGAAATGTGTTGAATGTTCCTGATTTTGAATATAGATGTTTTTCAAAATTAAAATATGTTCTATACCTATGTGGCATTGTAATAACTGGAGAATCTGCTTTTATTTGCCTCTTAAAACCACTCAGAATGATACCTAAAATTCCAAAAGATGCTGATCTTGAAACTATAATACAACATAGCATACTTTATTAACATTCCTTTAGAATAGGGATAATATTTTCATTTTTGTTGCTGGGGATATAGCACAAGAACATATTGCCTGAAAATGTAGCTTAAAATCTACTTTAATCTGCAAGATTCTTGCAATGATATATGAAAGTAAACTGTTAAAAACAGATCCAATAAACATAAAAGAAGGCCACCACCAGTGGAACAGTTAAAAGAGATTCACTGGTTGATAAATACAGATAAAATTAAGCCACACAAACCTTGATGACAAATATGTTTTAGTGGAAATATATTCCACTAAAGTTGATAACAGAATTAGGACTAAAATATGGACATAGTATTTGTAAAGGGAATAATTGCATACACAACCTGATATTCTCTCCTGTGTATAGATGCTCAACCTACAGAATCAGAAAAGGAAATTTACAATCAGGTAAATGTGGTGTTAAAGGATGCAGAAGGAATCCTGGAAGACTTACAGTCGTACAGAGGAGCTGGTCATGAAATACGAGAGGTAAAAGTTTATATTGGATGTTCAATTCAACAAACCTTTTATAAAAGCCCGATGCCTGTGAGCTTCGTTTAGATCACTGAAGGCCTCTTGATGTCTTAAGTGAGAAAACGTTAGACCAACGTTCTTCAAACTTGGCCCTTTTATGACTTGTGGACTTCAACTCCCAGAATTGTCCGAAATGGTATAGGGTTTCCTTCCTGAGCAGGGGGTTGGACTAGATGACCTCCAAGGTCTCTTCCAACTTTATCATTATTATTATAATTCCTCAACCAGCGTGCCTGGCTGAGGAATTCTGGGAGTTGAAGTCCACAAGTCATAAAAGAGCCAAGTTTGAAGACCCCTGCGTTAGACGTTGTTTGTTTATCAGCTCTAACTTACAAGTATACTCAGTGTGTCAAGAGTCTTGAGCAGTGTTTTTCAAAGTTGGTAACTCTGGGTGGCCTTCAGCCAGCCTTACGTTCGCTGGGGAAGTTTGGCAGTTGGAAGTCCATGCAGCTTAAAGTTGCCATGTTTGAAGAACACTGGTCTTGGATCAAGCATGTCTTTAGCAATCTTGCAGAGGCTTTGTTTATACTTTTCCAGGTAAGCAATCAATAACGTACACCCAAATTACATCTATTTCTCATCTGTTATGCCACCTTACTGCTTCCTTTAAGGACCGCATCCCAAAGCTGCTTTTTCACGAGGCAACTGGACTTTCTTGTTTTCCTTTGAAGAAGTTTTGCTTCTTGGATGAGAAGAAAGTCCAGTTGCCTCGTGAAAAAGCATCTGTCAACACTGCTAAACTTGGATGTTCTTGCTTTGACAACATAAGGAGATGCAGGCTTTTCCTCCTTTACTCCAACCTGCCATTTCTTATCCTCTCTTATTTCAAAAGCCCTGAATTCACACACTTATTACAATATGGTTATGTCTGACTAACTCCCATCACATTCCTCCTCCTCCCCCAGTATCATCTAATTCTAAGAGTAAAGCATAAGAAAGAAAAAGCCTGCATCTCCATATGTTGTCAAAACAAGAACATCCGATGTTAGCAGCGTTGATAGCATCTTTGGGATAACTATGACCTGGATGACTGAGAATCTCCATAGATTTTAAAGATACACTTTATTTAAGGCATCTCCTTTCCCCCACTTTTTGACCCATCAGTTGTTGTTGTTAGTTGTGAAGTCGTATCCGACCCATCGTGACCCTATGGACAACGTTCCTCCAGGCCTTCCTGTCCTCTACCATCTCCTGGAGTCCATTTAAGCTCACGCCTGCTGCTTCAGTGACTCCATCCAGCCACCTCATCCTCTGTCGTCCCCTTCTTCTATTGCCCTCAATCTTTCCCGGCATTAGGCTCTTCTCCAATGAGTCCTTCCTTCTCATTAGTGGTCAAAGCGACCCATCAATACGTGGGTCAAACACTGCACTTGGGACTGGCAATTCCATCACTGATTCAATTGTAAAATGAAAAACCATGTGACTGTGCCCAACTTAACAACAGCAGTTCATCTTTTCTGGTTGTTGCCATTATGTCACCTGACTGCAACTTACGACTTCCTGCAGTATTCCCCATCGACTTGGCAAATCAGAAGCCGTCCATGAAGTTTGCAAATGGAGTTCACGTGACTATGGAATACTGCAACCCTTAATACCCACCAGTTGCCCGGTGTCTGCATCCTAAACGTATTGTAAAAGGTGATCCTCATAGAGTTGCTATTGACCTCACAGACTGATGTATACAGTGAAAACTTTAGATAACTATTTAACTTATTTAACTTATATGCAGAGCACATCATGAGAAAGGTAGGGCTAAATGAATCACAAGTTGGAATTAAGATTGCCGGGAGAAATATCAACAACCTAAGATATGCAGATGATACCACTCTAATGGCAGAAAATGAAGAGGAACTAAAGAGCTTCTTGATGCAGGTGAAGAAGGAGAGTGCAAAAGTTGGCTTGAAACTCAACATCAAGATCATGGCATCCGGTCCTCTCCATTCCTGACAAATAGATGGGGAAGAAATGGAGGTAGTGACAGATTTTATTTTTCTGGGCTCCAAGATCACCTCAGATGGGGACTGCAGCCAAGAAATTAAAAGACATTTGGTCCTGGGGAGGAAAGTTATGGCAAATGTAGACAGCATTCTAAAAAGCAGAGATATCACCCTGCCAACAAAAGTACATATAGTCCAGGCCATGGTTTTCCCAGCTGCAATGTATGGCTGTGAAAGTTGGACCATAAGAAAGGCTGAGTGCCAAAGAATTGAGGTCTTTGAACTATGGTGCTGGAGAAGACTCCTGCGAGTCCCCTGGTCTGCAAGGCAATCAAACCGGTCAGTCCTAGAGGAGATCAACCTCGACTGCTCTTTAGAAGGCCAGATCCTGAAGTTGAAACTCAAGTACTTTGGCCACCTCATGAGAAGGAACGACTCACTGGAGAAGAGCCTGATGCTGGAAAAGATGGAGGGCAAGAGAAGGGGACGACAGAATGAGGTCGCTGGATGGAGTCACTGAAGCAGTAGGCGTGAGCTTAAATGGACTCCAGAAGATGGTAGAGGACAGGAAGGCCTGGAGGAACGTTGTCCGTAGGGTCGCGATGGGTTGGACATGACTTCACAACTAACAACAACAACCTCTCTCTTTCCCCCAAACATATACACGACATACAAAATGATGCCTCTGCTTTGTCATCAGATAACATTAAAGAAAAGATAGGGGTAAACGGGAATTTCTATTTTTATGAAACAGGTTTTTTTTTTTTTCAGGCAATACAGCATCCCAGCGATGAGAGGTTGCAAGAGAAGGCGTGGGGTGCAGTTGTCCCCCTAGTGGGCAAACTAAAGAAATTCTATGAATTTTCTCAGAGGCTAGGTAAGAAGAACATTAGCTAGTTGATGCCCGCAAGAGTTCGGGGTATTTATCTTATTTTATTCATTTGGCAAATTTCTGTACTGCTGCCTTGTGCAAGTTTCGTTTAGTGACCCAAAGCCCTAAATCCAGCTTAGCATGACAGATGACTGGAGATGACTTTTAAGAACAATATCACACCCATGTAGAGAAGCACAGGTGTACTGGTGTATGGTCTGGGATTGGGCAATAGAAATAACTAGACAAAACATTCAATACAGACCTGAGACATTACTATTAGGAATACTAGAGAAAAAATGTAAATAAAGAGGACACATATTTAATTATTCACGTGGTTATGGCGGCAAGGATACTATTTGCTCAAAAGTGGAAAGCAATGGAAGTACCGAGTGGAGAAGTAGTAATAAAGAAAATTATGTATTGCGCAGAACTAGATAGGATAACTAAAAGATTAAAAAATCAGGAAGAAACAGAATTTTATTGAATATGGAATAAATTTTATAGATGGAGGGGGAAAAATGGAGGTCACAGTAAAGAGATAAGTTAAGATAGAGACCAGAAATGTATAGTTGTATATAGATATATTATATGTAATTAATGTACAATATGGACTGAGATGTCAGTCAAAGACGATTTACCATGTTCAGTGTTTTTAATCATTTTTTCTTTGTACTCAATAAAAACTTTAAAAAAAAAGAACAATATCACACCCATACATAATTTTGGCAACTTTGCTGCTGTTTTGCTTGAATTTGTGAATTTTCAGTGTGTCTACAATTAGGCAAGAACCCGTTTGTTGTCTTTTCTTTTTTGAGGCTGGTTAAACTTGTCTGTTTAGACAACACACCACAACACCTAGGATTTTGTCATGCTTGAACTGCGTCCTGTTTTTGTAACCATGAATTATGCCAAGATAGTCAACACAGCGTTTTGATGTATTCCTGTCTTTTTTTTTCTTTTTTTTCACCCTCAAAATAGAAGCTGCTTTACGAGGTCTCCTCGGGGCCTTGACTAGCACGCCTTATTCTCCTACACAGCACCTGGAGCGAGAGCAGGCTCTTGCTAAACAGTTTGCAGAAATCCTTCATTTCACGCTTCGCTTTGACGAGCTGAAGGTAAATAGAGTTAATTCCTGAACAGCTGACTGATCACCAAGTCACCTTATCGATTGTGAGTTTGGGTCTCCTTTTAGATTGTGTTTAAAACACAGTGAGGAGGTACTTAAATGTCTTTCTTCCTATTTCCACCTTTTGCAGAAATAATAGATTTCTAACAGATTTTTTAAGAACATTCATATTCAATAATAATAATGATGATAAAGTTGGAAGGTACCTTGGAGGTCATCTAGTCCAACCCCCCACTCGGGCAGGAAAGCCTATACCATTTTGGACAAATCTCGGGCTGCCCCAAAGAAGAGGGAGTCAAGCTATTTTCCAAGGCGCCTGAAGTCAGGACAAGAAGCAACGGATGGAAACTAATCAAGGAGAGAAGCAACCTAGAACTAAGGAGAAACTTCCTGACAGTGAGAACAATTAACCAGTGGAACAACCTGCCTCCAGAAGCGGTGAATGCTCCAACACTAGAAGTTTGTAAGAAGAGACTGGACAGCCATGTATCTGAAATGGTATAGGGTTTCCTGCCTGAGCAGGGGGTTGGACTAGATGACTTTCAAGGTCCCTTCCAACTTTTTTATTATTATTATTATCAATCATCGCACAGTCAGCCAGATGTTCAGACTGGATTTGGCATTTTGTCTACCTATCGAGACCTTACCCAGGACCTGGGATAGGCAGATGTAGATGTTTGATGGTATTACAGGTATCGTCGCAGGATGGAAGCAGTTCCTAATAAGGCCGCCTTTTGCAATTGACTAATAGCAAATTTGTCAATGCCAATGGTGTTCAAGTGGTGCTCCAGTTGTTTTGGGATTGCACCCAAGGAGCCTATGACTATTGGTACTACCCTTGCTTGCTTTTGCCACAGTCTTTCTATTTCTATTTGTAGGTCTTTGTATTTTGTTATCTTCTCCAGTTCTTTCTCTTCTATTCTGCTGTCTCCAGGCACTGCCACGTCCACTATCCAGACTTTTTTGTCTTTCTTATCGACAATTGTTAAGTCTGGGGTGTTATGTTGCAGGTGCTTGTCTGTTTGAATTCTGAAGTCCCAGAGCAGTTTAATTTTATCATTTTCTATGACTTTCTCTATTTTATGATCCCACCAGTTTTTGCTTACAGGCAAATGATATTTTTTGCAGATCTTCCAATGCACCATTGTTGCTACTTTGTCATGCCGCTGCTTGTAATCAGTCTGTGCAATCTTCTTGCAACAGCTTACCAAGTGGTCCACTGTTTCTTCAGCTTCTTTGCATAGGCGGCACTTACTGTCTATTGCTGTCTTCTCAATTTTGACTTTGTATGCATTTGTCCTTAAGGCTTGGTCTTGTGCAGCCAGAATTAGTCCCTCGGTCTCTTTCTTCAATTTTCCTGCTCTTAGCCATTGCCAGGTTTTATTATTATCTGCTTTCCCAGCTATTTTTTTCATGTATTGGCCATGTAGTGCTTTGTCTTCCCATGCCTCTATTCTGTTCTTCATTTGGTCTTTCTTGTAGGCCAGTTTGGTCTCTCCAGTAGTTAGTAAGCCTTCCTGATATACTAATTTCAGTGCATCTTCATCATTGTTCTTCAGATATTCTTCCAAAGCCATTTTTTCTTCTTCAACCATCTGATGTACTTGTAGCATTCCACGCCCACCTATTTGCCTTGGTAGATAAAGTCTATCAATGTCACTGCGTGGATGAAGGGCATGATTCATTGTCATTATTTTTCTGGTCTGCCTATCCATTGCTTTTAGTTCTGCTTGAGTCCAGTCCACTATTCCAGCTGTGTACCTAATGACTGGGATTGCCCAGGTGTTGATTGCCTTTATGGTATTTCCTCCATTGAGTTTGGACTTTAAGATCTTCTTCACTCTCTTGATGTATTCACCTCTAATCTTTTTCTTGACTTCAGTGTGCTTGATGTTGTCAGCTTGAAGGATACCCAAGTATTTGTAGTACTCTTCCTCATCCAGACTCTTAATGTTATTTTCGTGGGGCATCTTGATTCCTTCAGTTTTCACTATTTTTCCTTGTTTGATAGTAAGTGTGGCACATTTGTCCAAGCCAAACTCCATTACAATATCTTGGCTATATATACGGACAGTGTTGAGCAGCGATTCTATTTCAGATGATGTTTTTCCATACAGCTTCAGATCATCCATGTAAAGGAGGTGGGATAGTCTAGCAGATGTTTTTGATGTTTGATAACCATGTCCTGAGTTATTCAGTATTGTTGACAGAGGAAACAGTGCAATAACAAATAGTATTATTATTATTATTATTATTATTATTATTATTATTATTATTATATGGCTGTCCAGTCTCTTCTTAAAAACTTCCATTGTTGGAGCATTCACCGCTTCTGGAGGCAGGTTGTTCCACTGGTCAATTGTTCTAACTGTCAGGAAGTTTCTCTTTAGTTATGGTTGCTTCTCTGTTTGGTTAGTTTACTAGTGAACCTTTTGTTAGATGAGTCAGGTTATTAATCTACATTAATCCACACACATATATTTATATGTGTGTGTGAATGAGAGCTTCTGGATCAATTCGGGAGCCATTCTAGTTTTTTTATCCTATCCCTCACTTCAGTGCAATATATGGAAAATCTTCAAAGGAAGAGGAAAAAATCTGATTGTTATATCCCGTTTTTGCTTATTTATATTTTGGAGCATCTCTGTTAGTCCAGCTGATTAAGCTTTACATATGATCAGGTCCTGAACCATGATAATCAATGCTACTGAGGTGGCTTGGACTTGAAATACCATTTTATTTATAATTATTTATTAGGCATATAGGCTGGCTGGGAAGTTTGGGCCAAACTAGAAGGCTGTGAGTTCTAGTCTTACCTTAGGCATGAAAGCTGGCTGAGGGACTTTGGGCCAATCACCAGGAGACAGTGAGTTCTACTCCTACCTAGCCTATCTTATAGGGTTGTTGTTGGGAAAATAGGAGGAGGAAAGAGTGTCATGTATGTTCACCGCCTTGAGTTACCAATTAAGTAAAAAAAGGGATAAAAAAAATCAAATAACTATGTCTAATTTCTCCACTTTTTACAACTTAGAAACTCAGCTCTCTTTCGAACAAGTTAAGGCAGAGATTGGCAACCCTTTGGGGAATTTCACCTAATAAAATCACAATAATTTGATTATGAGCTACCAAGACTTAACAGCGGGGGTCTTCAAACTTGGCTCTTTTATGACTTGTGGACTTCAACTCCCAGAATTCCTCAGCCAGTGAGCCTGGCTGAGGAATTCTGGGAGTTGAAGTCCACAAGTCATAAAAGAGCCAAGTTTGAAGATCCCTGCTTAACAGTGTTTATGATGGACAGGCATATAAATTACCTATAAGAAGATAAGAAAGTAGAAAAGAGTAAAAAAAAAAAAAAGTCTCACAAGTTCACCAAACCTTACACATGATTTCAGGATTCCTCTGCCTCAAGAACTGACATATTCTCCCCTCAAATCTCATATATTCTCACCTGGGGATCCTGACTCACAAGCTTTGGCAGTTAATTTTTAAAATAATTCATGGAGGGTCTATGGACACCATTTTGGGGTATCAGAGACTGAGTTGCCCAGGCTTATATATAATTTTGTCATGATGTTCTTGGTCTCTTGTATTTCTTTTTAGATGACAAATCCTGCAATTCAGAATGATTTCAGTTATTATAGAAGAACCTTAAGTCGTATGAGAATCAACAATGTCCCAGTAAGTAACCTTTAAGTAGAATCGAGGAAAATGACTCACTGTGTTCTTTTCTCCTTAACCTGTTTAATGAAGTCACATTATGCAAACATTTATTTTAACTTTTGGTAGGCAGAAGGGGAAAATGAAGTAAACAATGAATTGGCCAACAGAATGTCCTTATTTTATGCCGAAGCGACACCAATGTTGAAAACCTTAAGCGATGCCACGACAAAATTTGTTTCAGAGGTATGTGCAGGAATTAATTTCTACTAATACAGAATTGCTTTGGAAAACGATTATGCATCTTGTGACTGATTGGCATAAATCTCGTGTTTAGGGTTTCAGTGGAGAGAAAGGGTCAATCAAACCTTGTCAGTATTATGAACTGTTCTTCATGGACAGCAAGAATTGTGTAATGCTGTTCGGGAAATTTTTATATATTTTTTTTAATTTATTTTGCAAATTTGTAGAGCTGCCCATCTCACAAAAATTACTCTGGGCAGCTTGTAAGTAGAATAACAAAGCCATATCGCAATATAAAACAAATATAAATAAATAAGAAGAAAAGTGAAAACGGGAAAGAATCTCAAGATATCGATAAAGGAGAATATTATTAGCTCAGGGTTGAATGAGGGTGCCTCTCTGAGCTGGGTTAGTTTCTTGCAAACGTTTCATTACCCAGCTAAGGAACATCATCAGTGCTAGTCTAGCATTGATGATGTTACCTCATCTGAGCAATGAAATGTCTGCAAGAAAACAACCAAGCTCAGAGAGGCACCCAGGATCCCTCAAGCTCTTTTGGCCTCATACAAGGACTTTGCAGGTTCACCATGGGATCCCCGAGGAAGAACCATGCTTTAAGGCAGTGGTTCTCAACCTTTCTAATGCCGTGACCCCATAATACAGTTCCCCATGTTGTGGTGACCCCCAAGTGGGTGTGGCCACCAATAAGAGGGAGTAGGACAGCTAGGGAAAAGGGAAAAAAATGGCGGACAGCGTGGTTTGGCGACCCCCGTGAAATGGTCATTTGACCCCCAAATGGGGTCCCGACCCACAGGTTGAGAACCACTGCTTTAAGGCTTTCCAGAAGGCTGACAAAGGTGGGGTTAATATCCCCTCAGAGGGACTGATGGTCCAGAAGGTGGAGGCTACAACAGAAAAAGCTCATCTCCCGAGTCTCCCAGACCTCTGAGTGGACGGGACCTGGATCGTATCTCTTCTGTAGGCTTGATTGGATGGGTTGATAGATATAATTGGAAAGAGACGGTCCTGTCATCATCATCATAATAATCATCATCATCTTACATTTTAAGGAGGTATCTCTGGTTGATACCTAGGATGCTGGCAGCAACCCATGTCAACCATCAGCACCAGTCAATTTGAATGTTCAGTTGACAGGTTCACGTCTAATGAATAATAATAATGATAATAATGTTGGAAGGGACCTTGGAGGTCATTTAGTCCAAGCCCCTGCTCAGGCAGGAAACTCTATACCATTTCAGACAAAGGGCTGTCCAGTCTCTTCTTAAAAACTTCCACTGTTGGAGCATTCACAGCTTCTGGAGGCAGATAGTTCCACTGATTAATTGTTCTAACTGTCAGGACGTTTCTCCTTAGTTCTAGGTTGCTTCTCTCCTTGATTAGTTTCCATCCGTTGCTTCTTGTCCTGCCTTCAGGTGGTTTTGGAGAATAGCTTGACTCCCTCTTCTTTGGGGCAGCCCCTCAGATATTGGAAGACTGCTATCATGTCACCCCCCTCGTCCTTCTCTAGACCAGGGGTAGGCAACCTTGGCTCTTTTATGACTCGTGGACTTCAACTCCCAGAATTCCTGAGCTAGCCATGCTGAGGGGAAAGGGAGAGTTTCCAAGCTGAGCCATGTTGGCTCAGGAATTCTGGGAGTTGAAGTCCACGAGTCATAAAAGAACCAAGCTTGCTTACCCCCAGACTAGACATACCCAATTCCAGCAACCGTTCCTTATATGTTTTAGCCTCCAGTCCCCTGATCATCTTTGTTGCTCTTCTCTGTACTCTTTCTAGAGTCTCAACATCTTTTTTACATTGTGGGGACCAAAACTGGATGCACTATTCCAAGTGTGGCCTTTATCATGGCCGACTCTCTGTGCACCTTTGCTCGCATCCAGACAGCAGAAACCAGGGAGTGGGGAAGAGTGTGACTGGAATGTTATGGGTGGCCGAGAGGGAATTGAGGAATTCATGTGCGCCGTCTGTTGGCCTCGGAGAATCTTGACACCTCAAAGTCGAACAATGAGGGCCTTCTGAGCTGAGCTGACTGTTTCCCAAAACAAAGAGATGGCACTGGATTGGTGGACAATGGACAGTGGGTGGCCCGGGGGGGGGGAGGGAGAAAGGGGCTGTTTTTAACTATGCAATTTTTTCGCCAGTAAACTTCAGAACAGGCTTTGCTTCTACTGTGCCTATATAGATTCATCAATAAAATTATATAGTCTTGTTGAAATAATGTCCCAGGAGTTTCTTTTGCTGCATATGCCAATCGGACGGTTGACACGATCCCTCAGATAAGATCTTAGGGCTTTAATGGGGCCTTAAAAGTCGGGAAGTCAAAGCCGTAAGACCTTGAACTTCACCAAGCAGCAAACTGCCAACCAGTGCAACTCACAGAGCAGGGGTGTGACTGTCTGTGCATTTTCCGCTGTCACAATGCATTTTGTGCCAGCGGAAGCTTTGGCGTGTGCTCTTCAAGGGCCGCTCCAGGTAGAATACAAACCTGTTAGACCACAGACTCTCTGAATATTCCTGCTCAATGCCTTGCACGGTTTAGAATTGGGAGAAATGGCTCAGATAACCACTGTGCTGTTTTTAACCATAATTACCCTTAGTACAGGCACCCATTAGGAGAGGTGAGGCAAAAAAACGAGGCTCCCTATCACATTTCAGTAACTTTTCTTCCTTACTGCCTGTTCACAGAACAAGAATTTACCTATAGAAAACACCACAGATTGCTTAAGCACCATGGCCAGCGTTTGCAGAGTCATGCTGGAAACCCCGTAAGTAGAGCAATTCCTTCAGATACCATCATTGTTGGATATCAGCATGCGCAGGGTCTAAACCAGGGGTCTTCAAACTTGGCTGCTGGCTGAGGAATTCTGGGAGTTGAAGTCCACAAGTCATAAAAGGGCCAAGTTTGAAGACCCCTGGGCTAAGGGAACTAGGCATGTTTAGCCCAGGGGTCTTCAAACTTAGCCCTTTTATGACTTGTGGACTTCAACAGGCTGAGGAATTCTGGGAGTTGAAATCCACAAGTCATAAAAGGGCCAAGTTTGAAGACCCCTGGTCTACACCGAGCAGATGGGGAAATGTGAGAATTCTTTTTGATTCATTCAGTTTGCAGATAAGGTGGCTATGCTGAACTGGCCCTGGCTGAACTCATAAAAGTTAAGTAGCATTAGGTCTAGTAAGTTTTGGATATGGGGAACACCAGAGGTGTAAGCTAGTTTGGAAAGCCAAGAAGTCAAATGCAACAAAAACAGAAGGAGGCAGCGGCAGGCCACTTCCATCATGTTCCCAAAAAAAGGTACACGGACATGTTGGTGAAGTTACTAAATACTTATCTTGACCCAAAGGAGTGTTTACTTTTCATATAGGAATGTTAGGTATAAGTAGATCTCAACTTACGACTGGTCACTTAGGACCCATTCAGAGTTCTGACACATCTACCTGGCAAGTACTTACAACCCGGATTCAAACTTCTAACGGTTGCATTCTCTCTCCCCCCCCCCCCTCCAGTCATGTGATTGCATTTTGGGAGTTCAGCATCCAGGCTGCATTTGTACTGTCACACGAATGCTTTTTACAATGGTTTTGTTGAAAAATCGGCATTTACTTCCAGTTTTCAGCCACACCACACCCATATTCGAATCGTTGGTTTGTGTAGCGACTGTCGTGTTTGTTTAACAGCCAGGACATCCGCTTAACAGGCGCTGCAAAAAATATTGTAAAATCAAGTGGGTTGTATGATTGACTGTCATAAGACCATCCGTGTGATGAGCAGGCTTCATTGTGGTCATCACCTGAGGACTACCTTACCCAAAAAGGATAGAACCAGCATTGATTTTTAACAAATGTAGGAGCAACTGTTATATGTTGACTCTTTTTTTCCCCCCCAGATAGATTTGGAAGAATCTCTTGACCAAAATTGGCATTACTTTAATAGCTTTTATAGCCTAAAATACATGTTTGGAGACTTTTTTTTTTTCCCCTTCCCCCCCTTCCCCATTTTAACCTCCTTGCTTGACCAAGAAGGTGAGTGGTAGTTTGTAAACTTTCAATTAACCTAAATGAGGTTTTTTTTTCAATAGATGAGGATCATCATCATCACAGTGAATCTGTCGATAGAAGTAGAATTGTATAAGACTGAAAGAAATTAAAATCGGTAAAAGAAGGAAGGGTAAAGTCAGCCAATCAATTTATTCCAGTCTTTGCACACACACACACACACACACACACACAAACACACACACACAGCTGCACACTCACATTAAACTAGCCAGAACCGTTCTAAAATGACAGAATATTGCAGATTGCCGGTCTCCTCCCATCTCTCACCCAACCGCAGAGGTTGTTGCAACATATAGAACAAAGGCTGAGACCAAACCTACTTTCCTCAAGTTAGCGTCTGCTTCTCCCAAAAGAGATCCTTTCAGCCCTGGAGTTGCTTTTAGGATAGGGATTGGGGGGTGGGGTGGGGAACTGTGTGGCAGATCTTTTCCCAGCCCTGGGAGAGGAGAGGGGAAGGGAGGGGAGGCAGAGGGAAAGAGGAAGAGGGAAGGAAAGAAGGAGAGAAGAAGAGAAAGGACGAAAGAGAGGAAATATTTAGTGTATTGTCAGAATTTAGGTCTCTTTCTCCAGTGGTTTTATATAAACTCACATTTTTCCAAAATGCTGGGTCACAAGCCCTGTTGCTCCTCCTTTCGGTTTGATCTGTTTATCCACGTAGTGCAGTGGTTCTCAACCTTTTTAATGCCGCGACCCCCCAACTGGTCATAAGTCAACCAGTCGTAAGTCGAGGACTACTCAACTGGTGCAGCACCGTTTGCAGAATGGGACTTTTAGCGGGCTCAGCAGGGCAGAGACAGCCTGGACAATTCCTATTGGCTTTTGAAAGCCAATAGAATTAGACTCTATTCAAGAGAGTCTATTCTATTGGCTTTCAAAAGCCAATAGAATAAAAGGGAGTAGCACAGCTAAGGAAAAGGGGAAAAAAATGGCGGACTGCGTTGTTTGGCAACCCCCGTGAAATGGGGTCCCGACCCACAGGTTGAGAACCACTGACGTAGTGTGTTACAGGGATTCTACAGGGCAGGGATGCTACAGGAGATTTGCCAGAGGCAGGAATCATAGCAGGGAGTAGAGATATGTCCCCTTATCCTACATCTCCTTTCTCAGCAAAAGTACAACAGTTCTACAGAGGAGGATCTCGATGAGACCTGAGCGCTGGTAAAATAGAACCACCAAATACATTTTGCCTTTGCCCTCTCTCATCAGGTGGTGACCATGAGGGAAATAAGGACCGTTTCCCTTCTTCTTCCAGTGGACCTACTACCCCACTAAAAGAGCAGATGGAGTTACATTCTTCTTAGAAAGATCTTGGCACTTTCAGTTCTAATATTCTCTTATCTTTAGGGGGAAGCTCTCCAGTTTATTCTTGTGGGAATACTGTTAAATATTTCAACACTACTGATGCGTTCCAAGGTTGCCGGTAGTTTTCTAAATCTTTTCACCTCCTACATAATTGAGAAAAAAAAAAAAAAGTATGAGAGCTGTCTATTTTGCCCAGAGTACAGTCTGTGTAAAGTTGAAGCCCAGCTTCCTCCTTTGATTAAAAACAATATCAAAATAAAGGAGAGCCAGTTTGGTCTAGGGCAGGGGTAGGCAACCTTGGCTCTTTTATGACTCGTGGACTTCAATTCCCAGAATTCCTGAGCCAGCCATGCTGAGGGGAAAGGGAGAGGTTTCCAAGCTGAGCCATGTTGGCTCAGGAATTCTGGAAGTTGAAGCCCACGAGTCATAAAAGAGCCAAGGTTGCCTACCCCTGGTTTAGTGGGTAAAGAAACCAAGAGACTGTGAGTTCTAGTCTTGCCTTAGAGATGAAAGCCAACTGGGTTACCTTGGGCCAATCACCAGGAGACTGAATTGTAGTCCTGCCTTAAATGTGAAAGCCAACTGTGTTACCTTGGGCCAATTACCAGGAGACTGTGAATTGTAGTCCTGCCTTAGCTATGAAAGCCAGCTGGTTGATTTTGAGCCAATTACCAGGAGACTGTGAGTTCTAGTCTCACCTTAGGCATGAAAGCTGGCTGGGTGATTTTGGTCCAGCCACTCTCAGCCTAACTCATCTCACACAGGGGTTGTTGTGGAGTAAATAGGAGAAAGAAGGAACATTAGATATGTTCTCCATCTTGAGTTGCTTTCAAAAAATTAATAAAGGCAGGATATGAATTAATAAATTTAAAAAAAAATAAAGTTCAGGAGCTGAGGCCAGGGCTCCCGTAGAACTGCTGGATCCATCCAAGAAGGACTGATAACAACAGTTGAATTTTATAGTTCATAAGCTTAATGTATGAGGCTTCATAAACGACTGTCATACAATCACTCATTGCAAATGTAAGTGGTGCTTTGGGAAGTTACTGAGCTGAACTTGCAAGTATGTTATAAGTGGGAGCTCACTTCGGCTTTTGGTAATCCAATTTCTTTTGTGTTGTCTGTTGTTTCTCCAGGGAATACAGAAGCAGGTTCACAAATGAGGAGACAGTATCCTTCTGCCTGAGGGTAATGGTGGGTGTTATAATCCTCTACGACCACGTGCATCCAGTAGGTGCTTTTGCAAAAACTTCAAAAATTGATGTAAGTTCTGTCTTTGGGTAGTTGAAATATTCCTTTTCATTGCTGACTGCAATGGGGGGGAGGGGGAACAATGGGAGTGCATAGAGGGTTAATTATAGATTGGAAAGAAATATTTAGGCCGGGCTATCCAACCGTGGCAACTTTAAGACTTGTGGACTTCCACTCCCAGAATTCCGCAGCTAGCCTGGATGGGGAATTCTGGGAGTTGAAGTCCACAGGTCGCCAAGGTTGGGTACCCCTGATTTAGGCCATTGTGATCAGTGTATGAATCCAATTAAAATATCCCAGGCAAATAGTCATCGCCCTCACTGTAACCCATCCAGTGCAGGGCCCCCCATCATTTCTCTTTTAAGTATTTCCATTGGTGAATGGCTGCTACCAAAAGGAAGCCTGTTCTACAATTTTTTATTTAGCTTAACACATTAATATTGCTGCCTATCTTACCTACCATAACTCAACGCAGCTCACAGAAGCAGCAATAAAAATAACAAAAGAAAACAGCAAAACCCAAATGCCCAAATAGCTGTTGGACCTCTAAAATAGCACTATGCGATACATCAACCATCAGTCACTAGGCTCCATTCTTACGCTGCAGGAAGACCCCGGTTTTCAAAGCCTTCTGGAAGGTTAGTGAAGTAGGAGTTGCTGAGTCTCACAAGGAAAAGTGCTCCACAGGGCAGGAGCTGCTTTGGAGAAGGTGAATTTAATAATAATAATAAAGTTGGAAGGGACCTTGGAGGTCATCGAGTCCAACCCCCTGCTCAGGCAGGAAACCCTATACCATTTCGGACAAATGGTTGTCCAGTCTCTTCTTAAAAACTTCCACTGTTGGAGCATTCACCGCTTCTGGAGGCAGGTTGTTCCTCAGGTTAATTGTTCTCACTGTCAGGAAGTTTCTCCTTAGTTCTAGGTTGCTTCTCTCCTTGATTAGTTTCCATCTGTTGCTTCTTGTCCTGCCTTCAGGCGCTTTGGAGAATAGCTTGACTCCCTCTTCTTTGGGGCAGCCCCTGAGATATTGGATGACTGCTATCATGTCCCCACTCGTCCTTCTCTTCATTTCTGAGATCTTGCTAGATGACCACCCTGCCTAATGTGGCAGAAAGGGCAGACACCATCAAGGAGAGGCATTCCACTAGTAATCTTGCCTTGTAGCATTCAAGGCATTCAAAATGATAGACGTAATCCTCAACTTATAACCATTGGTTTGATGACCATTCAAAATGGCTTATTAATGAGCCTGCATCTACATAACCGCACGGTGAAACTTCAGCTGCTCGGCAACCAACCTGCATTTACGACGGTTGAGCATCCCAGGGTCCTGGGATTGTCACCTGCAATTGTGAGTCTAGACACATCCCTCCCACCCCCATTGCATGTCAATTCTCTCTGGAGGAACGTCTATGGAGATTCCCAGTCATCCTGCTCATGGTTGTCTCACGATTTTCAAGGGGCAACTGGGCTTTCTTTGTTTTTCCTTGAAGACGTTTCACTTCTCCTCTAAGAAGCGTATTCAGTTCAAAGAGAGTCCAGTTGCCTCTTGAAAAAGAGGGACATCCGAGGAATGCTAACTCCACCCAGAGTCAAAGATAACATCTCATCAAATCTGAAGGAGGAGGGCAAAACCCCAAAGCCACTCTGTTTTTCTATGGTTGAGTTGGACCACGTTCCTCCCCATCCATACCTTTATATCCTCCAGGCCATGGGTCAGCACCTAAATATAGAACTCAACTGTGTTGGATCATTTTCTTCCATCTTCCCTTTTTAAGGAAGATTGTTCTGAGGATGGTAGGTAATTAAGCTTTGGGGAGGGGGAGCTAGGTGAAGCCAATTCCCTGGATCCTTTCCAGATAGAAAGTTTCAATCTACTTCCCTGTCACTTTAATGCAGTGGTTCTCAACCTGTGGGTCGGGACCCCATTTGTGGTCGAACGACCGTTTCACGGGGGTCGCCAAACAACGCAGTCCGCCATTTTTTTCCCCTTTTCCGTAGCTGTGCTACTCCCTTTTATTCTATTGGCTTTTGAAAGCCAATAGAATTAGACTCTCTTGAATAGAGTCTAATTCTATTGGCTTTCAAAAGCCAATAGGAATTGTTCAGGCTGTCTCTGCCCTGCTGAGCCCGCCAAAAGTCCCATTCTGCAAAAGGTGCTGTACCAGTTGAGTAGTCCTCGACTTACAACCGGCTGAGTAGTCCTCGACTTACGACCGGTTGGGGGTCGCAGCATTAAAAAGGTTGAGAACCACTGCTTTAATGCATATTTTTTAATTCCATTTCCTGCACTCTGAAAGGGGAGAGTCGGATCCTGGCTTTCTATGTGACAGTCATTCCGGTATTTGAGGAGGGCTGTCATTTGACCCTGGGATATCTTTCCTTAAGAACAATCCTACTGCTTCCTTCCTTCTCTGTTAGATTTATCCTCCCCTGATCACCCTTATTGCACCCCTCTTAGCCTCCTCCAGTTTCTCTCAATCCTTGAAACAGAGAGCCCAGTGGGATCTGACTAAAGCAGAATAAAGGGGAGCCATTACTTCCCGCGATTTGGCAACGATGCTTCTGTTGAGGCAGCCTAATAAAGTGTTTTTATTGCAACATCAGGCTACGGTTTCAAGTTCAGTTTGCAATCTAGGACGTTTCCACGATCTTTTCCCTAAATGTCCAATCTTCGTACATTTGGAATTTGCTTCCTAGGTGAAGCACTCCTTCCCTTTCAGATTTTTGAAGGTTTTTGCACATTTTTGCCACTGAATGAGAATCTTTAGAAAAATCTGAAAGGGGCAAGGACAGGCAATCCTTGACTTATGACCACAGTTGAGCCCAAAATTTCTGTTGTTAAGTGAGACCGTTGTTAAGTGGGTTTTGCCCCATTTTACAACCTTTCTGATCCCATAACCCCGGGACACTGCAACTGTCTTAAATATGAGTCAGTTGCCAAGGGTCTCAATTTTGATCACATGGCTGTGGGGGATACTGCAACGGTTGTAAATGTGAAAAATGATCATAAGTCACTTTTTTCAGTGCCGTTGTGACTTTAAATAGTCACTAAATGAACTTTTGTAAGTTGACCACTACCTGTACTTTTTTCACAGAGCATTGACTTTTTTCCCCCAGCCTGTCAACTCATTTTAAACTTTACTTCTATCTTCTAAGCCAGTGGTGGCGATCCTATGCCATGCGTGCCAGAGGCGGCACTCAGAGCCCTCTCTGTTGGCATGCATGCCACCGTCGTCCAAAGCAGGAGCCCCATCCAGCACAAAGGAGGCAAAGCGGCCGATTAGCAAGCTCGAGTAGAGGTGATAGAGCAGAGGTCACCAACCATTGTCGATTGGTGGACTGGAAGAAAAGGGAGTGGGAAGCATTTTACATGCGTGCATGCGCACATGGAGCTGCGAGCGTGCACGGGGCTTCGAGCGTGCACGCATTGCAAATGGGGTGGGGCTAGTGCCTGCGTGATACTAGCCCTGCCCTGTTCTTGTGTGGTGAAGCGCCTTATATCTGCACCCCGCAGTGCGGCGGTGGCCATTTTTGCACCTTGCAGCATGGTGGCCCATTTTTGCACCCCCAGTTTTTGCATGCCAGAGGCAGCACTCAGAGGCGCCTCCCTCTTCCCCCCCCCCCCAGGACACCACACTGCTGATGCAGCCCTGGCACTTTGCGATAAATAAGTGGGTTTTGGGTTGCGGTTTGGACACTCAGTCTCTAAAAGGTTCGCCATCACTGTTCTAAGCTATTAACTCTCCCATCCAGTTTTGTATCAGCTGCAAATTGGAGACGCATTCTCTATCCCCCTTCAGTCCAAGTTCCTACAAGATGCTGATTAGCAAGCTAATTAACTGTGGGCTGGAAAGCATTCCAATTAAGTGGATAAATAGCTAACTCAATAATTATACCCACCTCATCAAATTGGAGAGAGATACCAAGTGGGGGTGCCAATCAATATTAAATCTGTAACCTTCCCACAATTTGTTAGGGAAGCTATTTGATCAAAAATGGGATAAAGTTGATCTGGCAAGAATTGTTCTTGACAAATCTGTGCTGGCTTCATTATTTTTAAAGTGCTTACAAACAGATCTATTACTGTAGTATCTCCCCAGGCATTGGTGTCAAAATGATGGATCTGTAGTTTTCTGGATCGTTGGTTTTCCTTTCTCTTCTTTCTAAAGATAAGGAGATTTCCATTCTCCAGGGAGTCTAATAATAATAATACCCAAATATTTGACTAGCCCATCAGGTGGTTCCTTCAGTATTCCGGAATGAGATTTATCTGGCCCTGGAAATTTAAACTCATTCAAAATAAAGAGATATTCCATGACCATAGTTTTATCAGACTCGAAGTTTTATTCTCATCCCGTCTTCCTTCTCTTCACAATCTCCTGGTAGAACACATACATTTGGTTAGAGAAGATGGAATGAAAACAGGAATAACTCTGCTTCTTCTTTATTACTTGTTAGCAGTTACCTTTCTACATTCAGTAGATGATACGTTGATTTTCTTTTCCTTTTACTTCGAACATAACCAAAGCAGCCCTTTTTCTTATTCTTAATGTTCTGTGTTGGCCTCAAATGATTTTGAGTTTTTATTTTCATGACTCCAACTCTGCTGTTTCAGGCTACTTGTCTGGATTCTCTTTTGTATGTTATTTCCTATTTCCTCTGTGTGTTCTTTATTACTTTAGGTCTTCATAAAATCTGGTTTTTTTATGTAACCATATTTGGGTTTCTTTTTTTCCTATCCTTCATGTGTTTCACCTAACAACGCATTTGAACAACACATGGGTGAAGTAGCATTCAAAGTACTGCTTTAAATAATAGATGGGATAATTTAGAAAAAAAATCAATAATTTAGACAATAGATGGGATAATTCAGGATTACTTTACATGTATGGGTCTTTCTAGGCAGAGCTTGGGGAAATTTATTGTACAGTTTCTTTGATTTTCCGTGGTGGTGGGTTTTTTTATTATTATTACTAAGTTGTCATTTTAAGAATTTAAATGACTTACACTGACACCAAGTTCGGATATTTCTTAAAATACCCAATAAAGTATTTGTATGAATCAGTAAGCTGAAATTACAGGTATGGAATTACTGCATCATGTCTAGACGTACTTTGAAATATTATATTTTGTTTTTCTGTTTTCTGGCACTCTAGATGAAAGGATGCATCAAGGTTCTTAAAGACCAGCCTCCAAACAGCGTAGAAGGTCTTCTAAATGCTCTCAGGTACCTAACAAGCCCTCTCGTGTTAAGCACAATCACTGCATTTTGGATGTTTTTTTAAGTCCGTGAATGCCCTTCTGTTTGAATCACAGAGGTCTGCATAGAATTGCTAGCTATGACTCTCTTGCTTCTGAGAAACAGACTTGTAAAAATTAGCAAGTCCTCTGACCTCTTTAATTTGCTGGTTAAGCATTGGTGCAAGCACTTTGCCTGAAGCTGTTTTGAGCTTAGGGACAAAGCACATGAAAATTGAAATGGTATACAAATTTGAAAGATCAAGCTTAACGCAATAAGAACATTTTGCATAGTAAATGCTCATTTAATCAAGTGCCATCCTGTGAAAAGATAATTCCACAAGCACATCCCGCGTGAAGCTTTATTTTAACAGGGGAATATACCAATCTTTTAATTTTCATTCAAGTAGAATATAAAGGTAGAACTGAGGTAATTGAACAAAAAGGCCCTAAGAAAAATTCACTTTGCAGTCATTTATTCAACAACAACAAAAATAGATATAGGTAGTCCATGGCTTGTGACTAGTTGCTTGGTGACCATTCAGAATTACGATGGACCTGAAAACCCTTTTTTTTTTTACAATTTATGATGCCTCCCCCCCACCCCGGAAACCATAATTTACTTCTGATTTCCAGCAAAAAAAATAACCCCATAGTAGATAATGGATTTGCTTAATGACCATGGTGTTCATTTGATGACTGTGACAGTCACTTAACAATCGCTGCAAAAAAAAATGGTTATAAAATCAGACATGGTCACATAATGACCCGCTTTATGACCATTGTGACTCATGACCAAAATTGCAGGCTCAGTTGTGGTTGTAAATCAAGGACTACCTGCATACCATGTTTTCTGTGGAAAAAATACACGGGTCTAATACCTGGCATTGTCCCTTTGATAGAAGTAATCTCAAGTAGACATTTCTTATAACTGTCCACTGATCTGTGACATCAGCTAAAAGGAATTTTTCTCCACTTCTCCATATATATTTTTTTTTACAGCTATACGAAACAGTGTTTGAGGGGTTTATTGCATCGTGGCCCATTTCACACCACAGCATCTCAATGAACTTTAGATCGGGGCTTTAACTTGGCCATTCCAGAAGCTTCCATTTCTTTCTTTTTTTTTCAGCCATTTCTTGGGGTTTTATTAGACTTAGGGTTCCTGTCATGTTGCAAGGCCAAATTTTGGTTGAGCTTCATTTTTTTTTGATAGTTGGTCTCCCTTTCTCCTCAAGCATTCTCTGGTACAGTGAAGAATTAATTGTGGGTCCTTTGTTGGGAAGCTGGCCCAAACCATAATCTTTCAACCACCATGCTTTTCAGTTGTATCAAATTCTCCTCAGGAAGTGCTGCGTTTGGTTTCTTCCAAACATGACTTCTGGCACTGGGGTCAATTAACTCTCATCCAGAATATGTTGTTCCAGAACTCGCACCTTTTAACTAACATTTTAAGGTGGAAATGTAATCACCTTTGCCTCTTTTTAAATTAGAGGTACAATTTTGAGAGAGAGAGAGAGAGGTGGAGGTGGTGGTGGTGGTGTAGTGGTTAGAATGCAGAATTACAGGCTGACTCTGCCGACTGCCAACAGTTTGATCCTAACCAGTTCAAGGTTGACTCAGCCTTCCATCCTTCTGAGGTCAGTAAAACGAGGACCCAGATTGTTGGGGGCAAGATGCTGGCTCTGTAAACTGCTTACAGGGGGCTGTAAAGCACTATGAAGCTGTATATAAGTCTAAATGCTGTTACTATTGCTATCTCAGCACTGCAAACCATACTTGATCTGAGTCTCTCTCTTTTTTTTTTAAGAAACAGCAAAGCATCAACTTACGTGTTCTTCTTTCCTCAATAGGTACACAACAAAACATTTGAACGATGAGACTACCTCCAAGCAAATTAAATCCATGTTGCAATAACAGTTACCTGTATAGTGTGGCCCTGCTGTAAACAGTATTCTGCAATGACTGAGATGCACAGATTTTTTTTTAAAAAAGTGATTGCAACTACTATCTTGTTCAGTCTTGCTTTTGACTCCTCCCCCCCCCCATGTTCTCTCTTTCCATTAAAAAAAAATCACGTTCTTGTCCTTGGGTAAGCTGATAACTTCTTTTTTGTGCCAAAATCATTGAAATGTATCATCTCTGGAAGGTAATTTTTTACTTTTCGGAATCGCCATTGTACATGGCAGCTAATTTCTGCATTGCGTTATGGATTTCTCTGTATGAGAGAAAGTTCTGTGACTTGAACTAAATATTTTTAAACGTGGTTTTTTTTTCTTTTTGTTTTTGAAAAAACTAATATTTAATATTGCTTCTCGTGCATGGCAAAACTGCCTATTTACTGCTATTTAAAAGAAAAAAAAGAAAAACCCTCAGTGACTTCATTTTCTATTGCAGCTTTTTTTATGTGCAGTCAGGAAGAAAATTTAAAAGCAGATTTGTTTAAATTAACTGTGTTTGTACAAATGGTACCCAACACAAAAGATTTTTTTTTAAAAAAAAAAAGAAAGAAACTAGTAAAAACTGTTGGTTTTTTTTTTAAAAAAAGTTAAGTTTGCATTGCGACTCATTTTTGTAAGGATGTATGTTGTATGTTTAATAACTAATGTTTTTCAAAAAAAAATTGGTGTGTGCGTAGCCAAATTACGTATGCATGTTTGTGTCAAAGGATTGGCTGTGGAAACAATAATAAAAGTCAGCTTTCATTTTTCTAAGTGTGGTTTGTTTCAGTAATTAAAGAGGGGCTTGTAATCAATAGCTGCCTGGAGAAAGTTGGTTTAAAAAAAAAAAGTTTCTGTCAGGATGGTCTTAAAAGATGGCCATCACGTGACTGACCCGATTTTACAACTTTTTTTTTTACAGCAGTCACTAAGTAAATCACCAATGGTCATTAAATGAAGGCACAGTCGTTAAGGGAATGCCACGGTTGTTTAGTGAAGCCATTCGTCATTATGGGAAGTTTTTGCTGAAAAGCAGAAGTAAAAAGCCGAAGTTTTAAGCAAAAGCATTCATGTGACCATGGGACACCGCAAACAGGTGGGGTGGGGGGCGGCCATTCAGGCTTCACAACCAAGTCATAAGTATCTTTTGGGGAGGTCCTTCATGATTTTGAATAGTTGCTTAAGCGAACGGTTGAAGACTGATTGTTATGTTGGTGGAACTGGATTTAGATCCTGTACAATCAATCATAATACAGCTGGAAGGGACTTTAGAGGTCTTCTAGTCCAACCCCCTGCTCAAGCAGGAAACCCTGTACCATTTCAAACAAAAGTCTGTCTAGTCCAGGGGTAGGCAACCTTGGCTCTTTTATACTCGTGGACTTCAACTCCCAGAATTCCTGAGCCAGCCATGCTGAGGGGAAAGGGAGAGGTTTCCAAGCTGAGCCATGCTGGCTCAGGAATTCTGGGAGTTGAAATCCACGAGTCAGAAAGAGGCCTAGGCCTAGGCCAGAGGTAGGCAACTTTGGCTCTTTTATGACTCGTGGACTTCAACTCCCAGAATTCCTGAGCCAGCATGACTCAGCTTGGAAACCTCTCCATTTCTCCTCAGCATGGCTGGCTCAGGAATTCTGGGAGTTGAAGTCCACAAGTCATAAAAGGGCCAAGGTTGCCTACCCCTGGTGTAGAGTCTCTACTTAAAACCTCCAGTGATGGAACCCACTGATTAATTGTTCTGTCAGGACATTTCTCCTTAATTCTAGGTTGCTTCTCTCCTTGATTCGTTTGCATCCATTGTTTCTTGTCTTTCCCTCTGGTGCTTTGGAAAATAAGTTGACTCCCTTCTTTGTGGCAGCCTCTCAAATTTTGGAATACTGTTATCATGTCCCCCCTAGTCCTTCTTTTCTCTAGACTAGCCAAACCCAAATCCTGCAACCGTTCTTCATATATTTTTAGTCTCCAGGCCTTTAATCATCTTAGTTGCTCTTCTTTGCCCTTTTTCCCAAAGTGTCAGCATCTTTTTTGCATTATGGTGACCAAAACTGGATGCAGTATTCCAGATGTGGCCTTACTAAGGTTTTATAAAGTGGTACTGATACGTCACGTGATTTTGATTGTAAGTTCCTTAAAGCAAATAGCACTTTTCAAATTGCTCTCAGACCAGTATGCTTCATCTCCCTTCCTTCCTACGGTCATTTTGATCAAGCTGAAGTTAATCATAGCTACATTCCATTGAAACTAAAAGAATGAATTAAGCTCAATTAATCAGCTCTTTTTCTTTTAATAGTATTTTAACGAGATTAATTTTACTTGTTCCCTCGGCTGGAAAAACCTATCTGTACATAAGTCATGAGTTAATACCGGCATAGCTTCATTGGATTAAGACACTTTTAATCCACTTCCTGAGAAACAGTTACGTACAGTAATAAATGATAGTTCCAGTGACAGCCTTGTTTGCTTTACGTAGAATTTATGGAATTTTGACTACGTTTTTCCCAAGTACTGTTTTCCCACAAGAATCACCATGTTTTTGTTATTGGAGAATTTTTAAAAACAGATCATCATGTGAGTTTTTATGTTTGGTTTAGTTTGCTTCGCTCTGGTTACAGGCAACATGTTTTGGTTTCCACGCCGTGTGGACAAAATAGCAAACCTTGCCCTAAATTGACCAGTCAATTTTCAAAACAACCACCCCATTTTTTTTAAGATTCCGGGTAGGCCTAAGTAACTTTCTGCCATAAGACTTCCCTTTCTGCCCAATCTACTCCAGGGGTCCCCTCAAGCTTCTGGATCGGATTTGAGGGTGCATGGAAAGAAAAGGAAGAAAAGTTTTTCCCATTCAGAGCCTTTGTTTAGGACATCAGGGGTAGGCAACCTCGGCTCTTTTATGACTTGTGGATTTATAATAATAATAATAGTAGTAAAGTTGGAAGGGACCTTGGAGGTCATCTAGTCCAACCCCAGGCAGGAAACCCTACATCATTTCGGACAAACGGCTGTCCAGTCTCTTCTTAAAAACTTCCAGTGTTGGAGCATTTACTGCTTCTGGAGGCAGGCTGTTCCACTGATTAATTGTTCTCACTGTCAGGAAGTTTCTCCTTAGTTCTAGGTTGCTTCTCTCCTTGATTAGTTTCCACCCGTTGCTTCTTGTCCTGCCTTCAGGTGCTTTGGAAAATAGCTTAATTCCCTCTTCTTTATGGCAGCCCCTGAGATATTGGAATACTGCTATCATGTCCCCCCTTGTCCTTCTCTTCGTTAAACTAGACATACCCAATTCTAGCAACCGTTCCTTATATGTTTTAGCCTCCAGTCCCTAATCATCTTTGTTGCTCTTCTCTGTACTCTTTCTAGAGTTTCAACATCTTTTTTACATCGTGGTGACCAAAACTGGATGCAGTATTCCAAGTGTGGCCTTACCAAGGCATTAAAGAGTGGTATTAATACTTCACGTGATCTTGATTCTATCCCTCTGTTAATGCAGCCCAGCACTGTGTTGGCCTTTTTGGCAGCTGCAGCACACGGCTGGCTCATATTTAAGTGATTGTCCACCAGGACTCCGAGGTCCCTCTCACAGTTACTACTATTGAGCATGGTGCCACGTATACTGTACTTGTGCATTTGGTTTTTCTTGCCTAAATGTAGAACCTTGCTTTTTTCACCATTGAATTTCATTTTGTTAGTTAGTGCCCAGTGTTCAAGTCTGTCCAGATCCTTCTGTATCTTAAGCCTGTCTTCTGGAGTGTTGGCTATTCCTGCCAGCTTGGCGTCGTCTGCAAATTTGATGAGTTCCCCATTATCTCTCATCCAAATCATTGATGAAGATGTTGAAGAGCACTGGGCCCAGAACAGAGCCCTGGGGCACCCCACTACACACTTCCTCCATATAGATGCAGTTCCATTGAGGACCACTCGCTGAGTACGGCCGGTCAGCCAGCTACGGATCCATCTGGTGGTGATTCTGTCTACCCCACATTTTTCTATCTTATCAAGTAGTAGGTTGTGATCTACTTTATCAAATGCCTTACTGAAGTCCAAGTAAATTATGTCCACAGCATTCCTCAATCCACTAATTTTGTCACTTGGTCAAAGAATGCAATAAGATTTGTCTGGCATGATCTATTTTTGACAAGCCCATGTTGACTTTTAGTAATGACTTTGTTTGCCTCTAGGTGTTCGTTGATTCGTTGTTTGATTATCTTTTCCAGGATCTTCCCAGGTATTGAGGTCAGGCTGATAGGTCTGTAATTTCCTGGATCCATTTTTTTTCCTTTTTTGAGGATGGGAACTACATCAGCTCTTTTCCAGTCCTCTGGTAGTTCCCCTGTGTTCCAGGATCTTTGAAAAATATAGTTCAGTGGTTCCGATATCACATCTGCCAGTTCCTTGAGAACCTTGGGGTGTAATCCATCTGGTCCTGGCGATTTGAACTCATCTAGGCTGGACAGGTGCTCACTTACCATTTTCTTGCCTATCTTAACTTGTGTTTCTATTTTGTTTTTTATGGCACTATTTTTGATAGGTTGATCTGTTTTTTCCCTTTGTGTAAAGACAGATGCAAAAAATGAGTTAAATAGTTCTGCTTTCTCCCTGTTGCTTGTCACCTTCTTGCCACTTTCCACCCACTAATGGACCAATCATTTCCTTCACTTTTTTCTTGTTTTTTACATGTTGAAAGAAGTTTTTTTTGTTATTTTTGACTTTGGTCGCAAGCCTTAGTTCATTTTGAGCCTTGGCTTTCTTCATCTTTGCAGGCTCGGGCTATTTGCTGATATTCTGACTTAGTTATGTTCCCCTGTTTCCACTTTCTATACTTGTCCTTTTTATCTTTCAATTTGTCAGAGAGTTCTTTATGCAGCCATGCTGGTTTCTTTTGAGAGCTGTTGTTTTTCCTCTTTGTTGGTATTGTGCTAGACTGTGCTTTTATTATCTCATTTTTCAAAATTTCCCAAGCTTCTTGAGTTGTTTTCCCCTTGAGGATTCTCATCCATGGAATCCTTCCCAAGCCCTCTCTAAGTTTATTGAAATTAGCTCTCTTGAAGTCCAAGACTCTAGTTTGACTGTGTTCTATTGCTTTTGCTTCTATAATGTTGAATTCTAATATTGCATGATCATTTCCTCCCAGGGTTCCTATGGCTTCAACACCTTCTATCATTTCATCTCTGTTAGTGAGAATTAGATCCAAAATGGCTAACCCCCTAGTTCCCTTCTCTACTTTTTGGGAGACAAAGTTGTCTGCTAGGTTTGCCAGGAACCTGTTTGATCTGTTCCAACTCCCAGAATTCCTGAGCCAGCCATGCTGAGGGGAAAGGGAGAGGTTTCCATGCTTAGCTATGCTGGCTCAGGAATTCTGGGAGTTGAAGTCCACAAGTCATAAAAGAGCCAAGGTTGTCTACCCCTGGTTTAGATCCTTCACAGCATTCGAAACAATAATATCAATAGAAGAGAATATTTGTGGCTCGGGGTTGAACTGAGGGATGGATCCTCTGAGCTTGGTTGTCTTCAAGCAGACGTTTCATTACCCAACTAGGTTACATCATCTGTGCCACAATAATGTCAATACAGGTCCTCGATTTACAACCACAACGGAACCCAATATTTCTGTTAAGTGAGTTTGGCCCCATTTCACGACATTTCTTGTCACAGTTATAATATAATAATAAGAAAGTTGGAAGAGGCCTTGGAGGTCATCTAGTCCAACCCCCTGCTCAGGCAGGAAACCTTATACCACTTTGGACAGATGGCTGTCCAATCTTTTCTCAAAAACTTCCAGTG